CAACAAACTTCTCCATTTGCTTCAGTATTTTGCTTCTGTATTTTAGCCTGATGATCCCATGCTACAGCTACTGGTGTTTCACTGGAATGCTGGGTAAGGGGACAAGGACTCAACCACCTTTGCTTTTTTATTCTTTGTGACTGTCTGTAAAGCTCAGTGTCACCATTTCCTTTCCTGCCCTTTGATTCCCTTTTACTCTGTAATTCCTAGAGTCAAAACAATCTCTTCTAGTCTTTAAAAAGTATGTCATAATGTTGCCAGGGCCCTGTGTGAATCTATGTCCTTCATTTCCCAAGGGTAAGCTGGCTGGGCTGCTTTGACATGGCATGGCCATGTAACATGGGAGCAAACTGCTGGAGAACAGCTAAAGTGAGAGAAGAAGCTGAGAGACACACAAAAACAAACACTAATTCAAACACTTTAACATGCTTGGTGTAATAAAACCTTCACTGCAAAAAAATTCTTCACTTTGAAGACTGAAACTAAACTTACTAACAAGGATATTTATGTTTTTTTCACACTTATCTTGCATATAGAGGACTCAGTTCCAACACTCTACCTCATCCTGGACTTCATGTTGGTTGTCCCCCACCCTGAACTAAAGAGTAATTTGCTTACACAGGATTAATTTTTGACATACAATATTTGCTTAACTTTTTGATAAATTTCAGACTCATATAGTACAGATGTCTACCTCTCATTTATCATCCAATATTTCCTTTGTGGTCTGTGGGGAAAATAAACACTTCCAGTGCACAAGCAATCTCATCTTATAGTAGACTTTTCATGGAGAACAGCTCAAAACTCTACATTTAGTGAAAGGTAGTGATAGAGGTGTACACATTTACACTGCTGCATATAGTAACAAAGGAATCAACTTGTCTCCCAATAAACCAGAGGATGAGGAAATGCTTTAGTGCCTAACAGCTTCACCAAGGCCCTGGCACCAGCTTAGGTCTCCAGAGAGCATTAGATGAACTTGAATCTCACATCTCAGATGGCCAGTCTCTTCCTTTCTTTCTCATGAAAAACTGTGAAAGCTTCTCAAGCTATGTTGGGATATAATGAAAATTACTTTTAAGACTTGTCTTCTGCCATAAAATGAAATTCTTATTTTATGAGTACAGAGAACCTTTAGACAACAATAAAGCAAAAATAAGAAATTAGCCAGGCTGTAAAATGGCCAATTTGTAAAATGGCCAAATTATTAGCCATGCTCTGAACAGCACTTTAATAAAAATTTCCATTAACAGATGGTATAATCTATGAAGACTTTGAATTTAACTCTTCTTATACTTAAGATGTTCAAATTAAAGATTAAACAGTGGACTGAATAACTGCAAATCTACAAATGTTGCAGGGATTTTTTAATAAGAAACTCAGTCTAAATTGTATTTAATGTTAATAAAGAACTCGGAAATTAAAATTGGTTTGGCCTCAGTTTTGAGGACAACAGAAGGCTTCAATTTTTAGCCAAAACAGATTATGTTTTTGTGCTGCAGTCACACAAACGTTTTGGTTCTGTAAAATATTTTGAACATGCTTCATTTGGAAAAATATTCTAAATCAAATAATAAAATATTGAACATATTGCTGAATTTTGACTTATAGGTTTTGGTTTTTTGGTAGGGAGAGGTTTTTTGGTTGTTGTGGATTTGTTTGGGTGTTTTTTTGGTTTTGTTTCTTTGTTGATTGCAAAATATGGGATTGAGCAGAGAGTAAAAATGTATCTGCAGTGTGCTACAGCATAACATTTATAGCCTTGAAAGGTGCAAATTTGCATGTTTCAATGTGCAAATCTGTGACTTCTTGGCAGGGGAAAGTTTGAAAAAGTAAAGACAGGCAGGTGTCAAGAGGCAATTTATTTACTGAATTATTAGCTAAAGCCTGAACTGAATTACAAGTGTTAAAAATCAGACATCACAGACTAGTGCAGTAACTTCAATAAGATCTGTATTTTGTTGTTGAACGTTGGAACTCCACAGCTTAACTGAATGGCAACTTGCCCACCTAGCAGTCATCCAACATGTAGGCACTCCTTCACTGAGGAAGGCAACACACAGGATTCAGCAACCTCAGCAAAGAGTGAAATAAGTAAAAAGCTAAGAGGCCTTTTATTTTGACTTCACCCCCTTATTCTGTTGCATCTGTTGCAGGGACTTGGTCACAGGTATTTGTCTCCCTATGGCATGCCCTGCCCTAAAGCCCCAAGTCAGTTGTCGCCCTAAATAAAAGATGAGCAAGTCTTAAACAGTTGCTAAACTCTGCATATTTTCATTAATTCAGTGAACTAGAGACATACTTTCTGCTTTCAGCACTGTTAAATATTTTCACTTATCTGTCTGATTTTTTTACAACCTGAACTATGCTTAGCAACTCATTGTGACAGATATATTTTGACATGAGATTGTCTTGGAAAACTATACTGAATCCTATTTCAGCAAGAATATGACACTCTTCCAGCTGACATGCAGTGTCCAAAAAACCACCACCAAATATATGTACTTACACTCAGATTTGGAACAATTTTCTTACTATTATTATGTGAATACATAGATGAAATAGACCCTGGGTAAGAGTCAGAAATCTTCTTCCTATGACACTTCAACCCTGATATTTCATATATTTCTCTTCCCAACTTATCAAGTCACAAGTAAAGCCACTAACATGTTTTGGAGCAACATACTAAAGTATTCTCTGACAGAAAATGGAAAACACTTGTTGACTAGGACCTTGTCCCCAGTTAGCTGCTGCCAGAGCAAATGTGGCACAGAACCCCAATCATAACCAAGACAGAACCCACCTGAGGATAACCTCAGTCTTTGCATGCTTGACACCTTTTCTGTGTTTTAACCCTTACAAGTATCTTCTAATTTCCAGAGAACTTTCACTGGTGAGTTTATAGACACAATTCAAATATTTATGCTTGAAGACCTTCTTACCTTGAATAGCTTTCTTCTTTTCCTGATGGCTACCACCCTTTCCATCCCATTGTAGAGGGAGCAATTGGATCTCTTTTGGGCTTAGCCTTCCAACTTATTCTAACCATATAAATTTCTTTATTCATCATTTTCTCATACCTCATATCTTTTCCAAAAAGATTTAATTACACTTTTTTATGAATAAATGAAGTTGTCAAAATACAAAGTTTTTATTCTGTGGTATAATGCAGACTATACCTCAATTAAAATTTTGTATTTTATTTTTAACAGCTGTATTAAATTTGTAACCCATTGCCACAAATGGTAATACCTGTACATTGTGCTCTTCAGTTGTTTAGAGCTACTGCATTCTTAGAGCTAGTTGTTATTAGTTTCTAAATACATGATTGTGCCTTTCCTTCCTATTCAGTTACAGCTCCTTTCTATTATATCAGTTTCCAAGGTCATTCTATTCTTTCTTGAAAAGATAATGGTCCTTTCTCGATTGATGATAGCTCCTAATATGAGTTATCAAAGACTTCAAGAGCACATTTTTTTTCTATGTGCAAAATCACCAGTGAAGCCAGATAAAATGAAAAACTACCTTCTATTTTCTCTCCCCAGCCCAACAAATGTCCTTATACTATAACGCATACAGACTTCAGTTAGTTTCCATTATCATTATTTGAATTGTCATACTACCATTTTAATAATTTTTATAGATCACAAATACCTAAGTAAATGTGGAGTAATTAATCTAAACTTACCTAATGAAGAAATTCCTAAAATTTGGATAATTTTGCCTCACCTAACTTATCTCTGAGAAGACTCAGCTATCTTCTTAACCCACTACCTTTTTCCACATGGTTGGTAACTCTGACCTTTAAAAGGCCCTCAGGCAGTTATCAGGTGTTTTAAATAGTAAGGTATAATTGCCCCAGTCATCTCCCTCCACACTTTTTTAAGAGGAGATATTATATTGACTATTTATGAGTCAAAGCTACTATTACAATCTACCAGACCATGAAATTTTACTCTTGGAATTATAAAAATGTCATCAAAATTTACTGTGTTTTTGAAAAGTGGATGGATCAGGGCCAGTTTTTGTAAAAGTGTGAGTACTCAATGGTACTAATGACAGTAAATTAGTACACAGTAATGTAACTGTGCCCTGCATTACTAAATTAAGGACTTATGCTGGTTATCTGCAAGCACTAGGAAGCATATTTCATTACCCTGCTAAATAACTTGGTCTCATGTTTGAAATCTTTCACTGCAATGTGGGAGATTGTCCAGGGCTGGAAGAACATTGTTCAAGAAGGCCAACAAACTTCTCCAGTTCTCAATAGCTTCAGTGTATTTGGCAGGGTTAAACTTGTTCTCACACTTGGGCTCAGAAAGAATCTCCCTACATTTTATTTCCAGAATTACCATCTCTGGCACTTGCTGTTGGACTAACTTGGATGTTCTCCTGAAGGTTCTTTGACACATCACATCACTTTGACACACACATAATGTGTGTGCTCTTTATCTATTTCACTGGGTCCTGGTAGGTTTTGAGGTTTTTTTATCCAGATTTAAATAGTTTAATGAGTCGGTGCCATTGGTAGATGATTTGCATACTGCTGTGAGTTAAATATCTATTAATATCTATGGGATAGTGATCCATTGCATCCTGTCTCAAAGAAGAGAAGTGGAGAGTTTCTGAAGTATTTACTGCCACTATGAAGTTCCTGACAGTCATGTGAAACATGGGTATCAATAAAACATGAAAGGCTAATTTACTTTTTTTCCCCTGCTTTTCACAGCTGTATAAGGAGGTGATAAAAGCTCTAAGTTTTATTCCAGGAATTCACTTGACATGAAAAAATACCCCAGTGGAGAACAGAGAACCTTACACAGTTAGGGAGAAGGCTTAATTATAGCACAGCCAACAAAATTGGCTCCAGTGCTTATCATTTAAAGCAGCCAATACTATAATGAGGGGCTTAATGCAGGAGTCCAGACACATGGTTTGATTATGCCACTGAAGGGGATAAAGGGGTACTGTATTATAACCAATATTACATGGACCATAAGTGGGTGTTTTAGTTTTTATTTTCCTTTTAAATGCTCCTTGCAGTATCCCACGCTGCTGAGGAAGTCACAAAATGTGATTTAACAAAACAACTGGAGGGAAGTAAATCTGTGTGTACGCAGAAAGGCAACACATGTGCAGGCATTTGTTGACTACAGGGTGGCTTTAGTGTGAATCATTAGATGAAGAGCTACAGCTGTTTCCATCTCCTTTCTAAAACTATAAAAACAGTAGAAGAAAGAAACAGGCATTTTCTCTTTGATTGACTTGTAGATTTCAGCAAACTGGTACAACTTGAGCAACTGCAGGAAGAAAAAAAAAAGCGACCCAACTGGAAGCTTCTTACATTTTCATTTTTAATACCTGGGTTCTCCTGTGTACCAAAACCAACATGAATAGTTTTACTCCAATCAGATTCAGGCAGCAGTTTGACTGGCAATAATAATATTATGGCAAGTCTACATTGAAAATATGTCTGAAGGAAAGATTACACCTTTGGGTGGGTAGAGGGGGGGGATCATCCCCCACACTGAAGCACTGGTTAAAAATCCTCAAATCAAGACTTTTTTTCAGATTTACACCTTCTGTGTTACAAATAAAACAGAATGACCACATTAAGAACCTCTGCCTCTCCCCATCAAGCCACTAGGCAGTTTTGAGAGGGTTCAAACAGGCTGTTACAAAGGCATAGCTTTGCCTATATTCTCTCATCTCCCACTCTGTTGTGCCCCAAACTAATGTCTGCATTGACAGACTGTGTTTTGAACTGACAGTTTTCACCGGATACATGTCTCAATGAGAACAATTCCCATGGTAAATGCCAGCCACAAGACACTCAGAGAGAAAAGGCTAACATTGCTAACAGATGCTGCAGGCATTTGTAGTAAGAAAATGGTTTGTAGGTTTCATCCCTTTTTATATTGTTTTTTCCCTCAGAAACACATAGATGTTTTTACTGAACATAAGAAATAACATTTAAATTTGATTAAAACTTTGAAGGGTCCCAAAAGATGAATATTTCAGGAAAGTATGAAAGGATAAAGAGCTGTCTGTGTCATAAAATTCTAGATTAGGTAAAGAACACTATAGTATAGATGTGCTCTCTTCACAATATTTTACCATTACTGTGGCTCTGCTGCTTTAAATTCTTTATTCAATTTATTGACTATGATCAAATGGTCCAAAAGGGGCATTAATGATTACATACTTCTTAAATGTATACTTAATTTTATGGATTCTGTTCATTCATAGGAGAGACAAGACAATGAATAAAGAAACATGGAAGAAAAATCAAATTGTAATAAAAACAAACAAGAAGTATGGACATCCTTTCTGGAGACCCAGGTGTTGACAAAACGCAGTGATATCTTGGCTGGTATGAACATACTTGAAGACATGGAGTCCAAAGGAAAATTATTGTGTCCTTCAAGTGAGTGTCCAATACCTATGAAATGAATATTATTAACTATGCTTGTTTCTAATAATGGGTGTCAAACCCTTGATTTCTGCTCTGAACAGGAAAAATGTCAGTGTATGGACAGTGTGCCTAGTGTGAAGACCATTGCTACAATGTCACTGTAGTATCTAATCCAAAGAATGTCTTCTGAGTTCTTTCTCATCAAACTTATTTTAAAGTTAAGATTGTATGATCTTCAAAGTCCCTACATTTATAGCCAGGAACTCTTCAATGACCCAGCTTGTTCATACCTCAGAAGTTCCATTTAAGAGCATTGCACAAGGAAAAAGGAGCAAATTATTCCACCACTTTCTTTACATTGACTCTTTCAGTTCAGCTTATTTCACCACCCAAGGATCATCCCAGCATGAAGCTGATCACATGAACCAGGCAGCCACTAATCATGTTTCATGCTCAGCCAAGTTTCTTTATCAAATTATCAATACAGAATCAGAGATGAATGACACCTAATTGCAGTACACAGCATGACTGCAAAAGGCCTCGTCCACTAAGAGCAAAAAATTGCCTCTATTGAAATCAAAGATTTTTGCAACTGCTATCAGAAGTCACAAAGTTAAGAGCATTATGGTTTTCATACCATTGTTAATTTTGGTCTGGAGCACAGGCTGTTTCAGCTGCTGACATTTCAGATGTAATAATCATCTTTCAGATAGTTATATTTACTCCAAAATGGTCCTGAATTTTAATAAACTTGTAGAAGTTAGAGGCCATAAAACTCGTCCTTGGCTAAACTCTTCACTATGTGTTTGAGATTTCAAACTAGTTTAAGATAGGATTTATCAGTATTACTGTTTCTTTTAGTCATGTACTGAATTCCAGAAAAGGAGCATTGACAGCATTGACATTGGCACCGAAGGAGATAAACAATGAGAACAGGATGTGATGTCACAAAAATACTTAATATTTTACATAGTGTAGGCTCACATTTTCACATGCATCTTGATAAACAGAAAGCCCACTCTTATTTTCTTAGGAGCTTAGAGTCTTTAAGCTTGAACTGTGCTGAAGTCAGTTTTACTACCCCTGTTAGTAAAAATACCAGATTTCTTATTATGTGTTAACCCCAAAACCAGGACACTTATATAGTAGTCTGGGTTCTGATTTCACGTGTTTTCAAAGAGATTTGTGCAATGAAATAATTTGAATGTCTGTGCTTCATATCTACCCAAAAGAATGTTGTAGAGTTGTGAAAACCTTTTTAGATCTTGCTCCTCAGTGTTGGTCTAATATTCATAAAATTACATAATGTTCATAAATTTACTTTTGCTAAAAAATGATATAAAGTTAGAAATTCCCCAGGATGCTTTGAAGAGACTCTAAAAACTAAGTGTTTATGGGAAGTGAAATGCAGAAACAGGGCCTCCTAAGCAGCATGATTTCACTTTTCAGGGAATATGGGGCAATATGCTACTGTATCTTTGGTAATTAATTAAAAGTGACTAAAGGCAGGTCCATTCAGTTATGGTACTCCTGATACAAATGGGAGATAAATGAAGTGAGACATTAAATGTACCAACAGCATCCTTGCATTGATTTGACACCTAGAAAGTCCTTTAAACTTTTAAAATGTAGAGCCAATTGTAATATTTCAGTACTAAAATGACAGATGTAATTCTTCTAGTTTTATTACTTTATTTAGCTATTCTTAATTTTATATAATTTTATATAATTTATCTTAAAATAAAGATGTATACTTTTCAAATACAATATTTCTTGACATGGTCAGTCCTTTTCATTTTAGATCATCATATTTATACCATTTGCTTACTGACCTCTCACATCAGCTTTCACAGCAGTTTTCAAGAAGGTTACTAATTTCATGGTTCAGAGCAATGATGATCCTTCAGAACAAAGGTTTGAAGCCATAGGTAGTTGGAAAAATGCAGATAGCATAAAAATATAAATATATATAATATACCTCCCACAAAAATACCATCTCTTTGGGTCACAACAGAATAGTTATTCTTTAACACTTTGAATAGAATTTAAGAAAACATCCCTGAACCTGATTGTTTTTCTGAGTTCATTACCCAGCCACTTCCCCGCAGGCTTATTTCACATTCTTATTCCAGTGAGTGACTGTGTCTTCGATGAAATGATCTGCTTCCTTGTGCTTTAGGCGTCCTCTTGGCCCTGGAGTGTTACAGCAATATGAAACATGATGGCATATTTTTCTTTAATAGTGCTCTCCACACAAAATGTATTGACAAGTAGGTGTAAAGTGTCTTCTGTTTGCTACGTCCTCTGTCATCTGCTGTAGACATACCCTTGACCAGAAGCTCTCTTTGCCCCATTAGATAGCTGTGCCAGTATTTTCCTTGACAAATATATATATATATATATATATACATACATACATACATACATATATATATACACACACATATATATATATATATATATATATATAAATAGAACTGTTATGCTGATGTCCTGGGTACGTTGGCTTGTTACTGACCAAGAGGAGTGCGGAGCAGCAAGGCACAGAAAATCCACTATACATTCTAACATTTAGGCTTTATCCTTTATTAGGTAGTGAGTAAGAGACAAAAAGAACTGAGTTTGTTGTTTACAGCTGAACTTTAAAAGAGACTTGTGTGAACAAAAACTTGTTCCATAGAGCACTGTGACAAAAGAGGTCCAAGAACACTGAAGGTGTCATTGCAAATTAGCTGATGTAAGTAGTTGAAATGACACTCTTTTATCTCTAGCAAAATTTGTATGAACTCTGCTCTTAGTACTGTGCCTCCATACATGCCACAGGCCACGTTTTGACAAGGATCAGCCTGTTGATTTTGATTGCATCTCAACAATATGGCAGGATGTACAGCAGGTGTCCATGCACCAGAAGGCTGTGCATAAGAGCCTTCAGGATATTTGTCTATCTCCCATTTTCCCATCTGCCTGCATCCTCAAGAGAAAAAGACAGCCTGTCCAGATCTTCTACCTTCCCAAAATGTGAGTACTCCTCTGCTCCTTTAGCAAGATCTTACTTACCCAGGATCTTACAAAAGGCTCTGGAAACAAGTGGTCGTTCATGGAACACAGCTTGAAAGCTGCTGCCCTTTTCAAGGAGGAATCTGAATGCAGCTGGCAGTGGCACTACAGCTTCTGCAAACTTCCAAATATGTAAGGTTGAAAGCAGGCTTAAAAGAACAAGTCCTCTGAATCTTACTATCTCATGTACCCAAATAAAATGAAAAAAATTCTAAATTGAGTGTGAGGACCAGGTTTTGAAGGCTGGCTTATTTACTGCCTCTTTACTGGGAGCTGTAGAGTAGAGAGCCCTTTTAAATGTCAGCCCCTAGATATTTAGATGTTTAAACTTGGCTTCAGGAACTTACTCATACTGTTGTTTTGAAAGCTAGGCCAAAGCAATCCAGCTCATATTAGCCCTGGAATATCCGTCATGTCTTTTTCATGGCTACATAGGTGTGAATTAAATATAAACAAAAGCTCATTTCATTTCAAGGCACAAACGTTTGCAAATAAACTGGATGAAATACAAATACATAGCACAGAACTTATTTTAATATTTCTAGATAAATAAATGAATCTCTTTGGAATTCTTCAGACACAGATATCCATGGAACCTCTTCTTTCTCTCTCTTTATATATTTTTTATAAAATCTAAATGCGGAGAGGTTTAAAAAATGGCAAATACGAATGTATATGGAAGGCTCACTGATGAACTGCAAGTCAAAAGTGCTGTATATTCCCATCCTCTATATCTCCCATCTGTCTGCAATAACCACAGGCAGCATTGTATAGCAACCACATGGTCAATATTTTGCATTACTGGCTTTTAATGAAATCTTTCAAATAATTTCCCCATCTAAACTTAAATTATGCTTTTAAATTTTATTCTGCCTAAATGTACAGTAGGCATTTCACTTAGCTACACATCAGAGTGGTTGCATGTGACTCAGCAGCGCACTCCATAATATTAATAGATACTTTTCAGCTCCCTATGGGAAAAAGCAGGCAGCAAGGATCAGATTCAAAAAGTCTATTTTTTTTTTCTCTGTTGTTTGTTACTTACCACTTAATGACCCACATGTGAAATCAATGGTTATATAATTATTTTATATAGTAGATTTTCTGTTTATAAGTTATTTTTCTTACTCTAACATATATACAATATATCTATATATACCCCTGATAAATCTTACTTTAAAGGGACACAGTCAACCCCTTTAAGCCTCACAGTAAATATATAAGGCTTTAAGCTGTCCATACATCACGGTCAGCTACAGAATTCAAGGGTCCCTTGAGATCCTAAAAGTTGTATTTGTTCCAAACCCATGATGTGCAGTTATCCCGTAATATGTATCTCATGTGTCACTGTTTACATTTTATAGGTATATTAAGACATTTTATATCACATCAATAGGAAATAAAACAAGGGAATAAGTCTGTTGCTAAGACTAAGCCTATTGCAAAAAATATTACTTGTATCTACAGACACTCCCACTGGTGTGATATAAAATGAATATGTGCCATTCTTGGGATGAAATTCTGGCTACACTGCAGTCAGAAGGAACTTTAAACTGACTTAAATGAGACCAGGATTTCTCTCCTGTTTTTCATTTGTCAGTTATGATTCTGTGTAACTGATTTGTGTCTTCCCTCTGCTCAACACTGAAGTGTCAGGCCTGTTTCATGACGAGATCATATTTTTTGTTTTCCACTGTCATGTCTGAAACATTGATCTATCATGTATGTATTACACTTTTTGAATAAACACACAGTGTACACATACATTCTCAGTTAAATACATTTGACCCATTCTACTGTGTACAGCATCTGAATTATTTTTTCCCCATTAGATCTTCTTTATCATTTTCTTTGCCCTAATCTAGATTATTTTCATTCTTCTGTGAGTGAGAAAAACTTCGCTCACCAGGAACAGCTCCACATTATTGTAATAATTTTTGACTATTTACCGAAGTGACATAATTTTGTTCATTTTATCTTTTGCAACTGAGTTAGAATCCTAGTGGCATAGATAGAGACACAATACTACTGTTTTACAAGACATCTATTGTATCTACTTTTGTTCAGATAAATACCCAGTAACTGCTGATTTGGCAGGAGGATTGGTAAGGGTACTACTATTCACAGTGTTTCTTTTTTTTTTTTTCCTTCTTCTTTAATCTACAGAATAAAGTATTTTATATACATTGGAACCAGTTAATGCCCTTTAGACAAATTTGTAAGTTGTTTCATAAAGCAGGAAAGACATTGCAGGGAAATATATGTGCCAAAATGCACAGTCAAAAAGGCTCTGTAAGTTTTATATGTCACTACAAGTCAATGCTGGAGATCAGTTTTAAAACGATCAATGCTCAAGAGAAATGTTCTTATCTGGAGAAATACCACCCATTCCCCCTTTCAGAATTTGTTCGGTTCTCTATCAAAAGTTCTGGCTCTTCATATATACTTTAAACTATAAATAAACACTGCATAGTTCAATGTTCATGATTTTCATTTTTTTTTTTTTTGTCTTTTGATTTGAAAAATTATTGCAGTACAATTAATTCCTGTTTGGAGTTCAGTAAGGAGCAAACAGCACAGGAGTGTGGGTGGTCCGTATAGGCCCAGGAGCTGGTCGTAGGAGTGCTGGAGGAAGTGCTGAAGTCTGGAAAAGGGTGGCTGCTGGGGCTGTGCGAAGACTGAAGGGGGAATTCACAGCCACAGCAGCAGCTGCTGCTGCAGCTGCTAGCGGATTTGGTAAGATTCGTGGGGCCATCGGCTTTGAAGGTTCCTTTGAAAATACTAATTTTACCTGTGGGGAAGAAGAGAAAACAAACAAACAGAGACACATAATTTGTTCACATTAGCTACGTGAGAGGGAGCTTGATTTAAGATTATATATGCAGAATCAAGCAAGAGAGGCCTCATGGTGGCTACTGACTCTCTGAGATACAGCCTTGTAATAGGTGATATGACCTCCCCAATGGACAACGTACAAGGATTTGGCTGGGGACAAAGAGTTCCAGTGTTCACACCTTATTGCTGACACTCATAATTTAATATGAGATTAGAAATCAAAGTAAATCTAAAATGGGACTGGGGAATCTGCACCAAAGCAAAGCTGCATGTACCCTGCAACAATTAAACAAGGAAAAATCAGATATCAATTAATAGATCTACATCTGAACAGCTTAATGTAGAGACCAGAGCAGAATGGAAACTTATCTTATTCCCTGGTCTTACAAGATACTTTTGTTTTAACCATTAGGTTTCAAGTTCTACTTAAAATAAAGATCTCCATATAGCTCCTCATTTACTCCCGCTTCTAATAAAAAGCAAATAAACCAGTCTTATCTTTCATGAGTTATGAAAATCATGTATTTAAATGGGTGCTGCCCCATATAATTTTGCTGTGTCTTCAATGTCTTCAATTGTTTTCCACTAAAATAGTGTTCATTCTTTCAAGCATTGTGAATAAAGAAGTATTCTGCCAAACTATGATATTTCTGTTCCTGTCACTGAGGTTTTTTCTTAAAAAACATTTTAAATCATAACTTGATTTTATTGTGGACTACCAAATACAAATCAAAAAACCTTTCATTTAGAGTTTCCTAAAAAAGGGAAAAACCCCGAACCCTGAAGTTTCTCCAAGACTGAAAACAGTCACGAGAGGTTCAGTAATATTTAAGAAAATTTACATTTGGGATGCATACAAATGACCATAGTCTCTATAGATTTCTGCAGTTTTCAGTAGAATTTCAAGTTACTAATGAGATGCCAGGAGCCTGAATACCTTTGCAGTCCTGTTTTTATAACTCTGAGATAAGATTAGAAACTTCATTTACTGACAAAAAAAAGTTCCCATTGTCTCTGAAGGACTTTTGGTGGGTCTGTGTCCTGGCATGACCTGAGGCCTCTTACAAAAGGCATAAACCTGAATACGTGGTATTGAATATACAGAATATATGTAGCATGCTGTGGTACATCTCAGTGCAAGTATGGACACTTTTTACTTACAAGGAAACAATTTCTCATTCTTGACTTGAAAGGGATTTTAAAGTCATTAACTTGCATAATATCACTCTGACAAACAGAATCCTAGTGAGTGAATCATCAGAAATTAAGGGCAGGAGTACTCTGGCATGAACCACAACTGAGTTTCATCATTACACTATCACCATATTCCAAAAGGTCTGTTGGTTCTTTAGTGGCCATATAGATAGAGGATTTTAACTTTTCCCAGCACCTATTGGCATCAGGCACTTCTAATTAAATTACTAGATTACTTCTAGCTAGATAGCTTTTCAGTTAACTTATCAACATGATTCTGAGTTCAAGGTAGCTGCAAAACTAGTAATACTTAACATATGCAGTACTTTGTACATTCATTTCTAACCTCTATTATTCACAGGTCAACATTGGGAGCAAAGTAACCATTACTTTTTTCATTTCCAATGAAGTAAACTAAGGGACAAATAACTTGAAATATTAATGGGGAGCATTCCTGGTTTCAGCTAGGGAGAGGGAATAAATGAAAAGTAAAGAAAGAGCATTAAATTAAAGGTGAAATTAGTTGGCTTGTTGTTGTGCTGTTCTGCACTTCAAGTGACAACAATTCCTGCAGTTTTTATATTCAAAACCAAAATGACTAAATGGAGAACTAGTCTTTCCTTTCTTATTGAAGCCACAATTCTACTACGTGTATCTGTTCATTTATTGCTAGTTTTTTCTCTGCTTCTTAAATCTCTTTTGCCCTCTAGCCTGACCTGTATATTGTGAGCAATTGGGATTGAGGGAGAAGGAAAAGTACACACTGCTGTTATTTGTCCTGAACCTTGGCTGGAGTTCTCAGAAATCACCATTATATAAATTGGTAGAGAGCTGTGCACAACCACAACAATAGTGTAATAGTTGTTTTCATCCCCTGAAAAATAATTAATTTCCTGAAGGAATTACAATCCTGTCAGAAAGGTTTTCCAGATTCCATATCCTACTTACCCCATTACATATTTTCTATTCCTTTCAGTACAGCTTGTATTGGAGACCTTGATCTTTCTTGTGGATCACTGAGAAACCCTATGGGGCTATTTCCCTATTAGTAGATCTACCATAATGGTGCACTGCTTTATTCTACCACTGAATCCTGCATGAATATGCCACTCATGAGGGCTGCCCCAACAAGGACATAGTTTCTGCTGCCAAAGGTTTACCTCAATGTAAAGAGAGATGGGTTTTCCCAGAAAAAAAGAAAGCTCCATATTGTGCCTGCATCAGAGAAGACGGTCAAGGCATAATCTCTATGAGGACAATGAATCAACATCCTCCCTCTGCCAGAACCACTTATAGAACCCTACAAAGCAGCAGATATAAAATTCACAAAATTCCAAGAGTGACTAGATTGGAAGAGACCTTCAAGTCTCTTGACTGGTTGAGTCCAACCCATGCCTTAACACCTCAACTAAACCATGGCACCAAGTGTCACATGCAGTCTTTTTTTAAACACATCCAGGGATGGTGACTCCACCACTTCCCCAGGCAGGCCATTCCAGTACTTTATCACTCTTTCTGTGAAAAATTTTTTCCTAATATCCAACCTGTATTTTCATTGAGACAGCTTGAGACTGTCCTCTCGTTCTGTCATTTTCTGCTTGGAGCAAGAGACCAACCCCCACCTGACTACAGCCACCTTTCAGGAAGTTGTAGAGAGCAAGAAGGTCACCCCTGAGTCTCCTTTTCTCCAGGCTGAACAACCCCAGCTCCCTCAGTCATTCATCACAGGGTTTGTGTTCCAAGCCTCTCACCAGCCTCATTGCCCTCCTCTGGACGTGCTTAAGCATCTCAATGTCCTTCCCAAACTGAGGGCCCAGAACTGGACACAGCACTCAAGGTGTGGCCTCACCAGTGCTGAGTACACGGGGAGAATGACCTCCCTGCTCCTGCTGGCCACACCATTCCTGATACAGGCCAAGATGCCACTGGCCTTCTTGGCTGCCAGGGCACACTGCTGGCTGGCCAGCCACACTGTCCCCACCCTATAACATTGCAGGGGATTATTGTGGCCAAAATGCAGGACTCATTTATGCAGTTTAACTGATGAAGAAGATAATAGTCTGATGTTTCACTATACTGCTTCTTAACTAGTGGCAGCATCCTAAGTTTTTTATAAAAAAAAAAAACCAAAAAAACCCAGCTTTTGGAGCTAGTAAGAGCTGTGTTTCAGACAGTTTATCTTGGCAGTCGAAAATGTGACCAGAACCATTTTGAAACAGTCAAATGGAAGAAGAGACAGGTTTTTTTAATTGTTTCACTTGTTATCTCAACAATTCTCTAAATAAGAATAGAATGAATGGTTTATATTTTATAGAGTTTTATTTAGTTATTTCATCGCTATTGTCCTTGGTGAAAGCTAGAAAAATCCTGTTTGACATCTGGAGGTTTTTTCCGTCTCTTGCTCTCTAGTGACCCTTGCAATTAACTTCTTTCCTGAGGTTATTCAGAGTAGCTACAAAAGCAGGGGTCCACAGGCTGTAGTAAACACAAGTATATAAATAAATCCCTTTGTGGGTTTCCAGTGGCTCCTTCATGTACTTAATACTCCAATGGTTTACACTATTACTCTCCTTCTAAGCATTTTCTCACTTAACATTTTCTAAAAATCCTATTCATCAGGATTAAAATAAAAGTCAAATAAAAAAGGATGATTGGCTTACCCCTAGAGGATGTGTTCCCTTTTGGAGTTTGTTGTAAGGGCTGTATTTAGGTTTAGGTGGTTTCCCAGCAGCTCTGTCTTTGTGCCTTCTACTGCTTATGTGCTGTTAAAATATATTGGGGGGGTAGGGAGGGGAGAAAGAAAACAAAGGATGAGAGTTGATAGTTCCAAAACAGATCACTTCAGGTTCTGCTTTACACAAGATTACTGCTCCAATATGAAAGGCTTTTGCTCTACAGCAGCATTACTTTGACTAATTCAATAATGAAAATGACTAGGCTCTTTTAAAGTTTGTAGGATCTTTTGTGCACCACATATTGGGGACTGTAAGTTTCATCAGTCCTAAGTTCAGCTCTGCTTCCACTACAGTTAAATATTTTCCCACCTTTTTTAACTTCAGCAGGACTTGAGTCAGGTTAAAGACTTTGAAAAACTCCTCTCTAACTCTATAAAGCACCCATCAAATTCAATTGACTGCTGGTAGAAAGTTTTTAAAGAATATTATAGACTAAAGCATCCCCTATTTGGGGAAGAATATAAGGTCATAAAATTGTTTAAATCCCTAAGCTGCCTGGAGATCCTTCTGAGATGGGTACATAGCAGACTAAGAGACAGTGGAAAAAAATGCATGAAATCCATTATCTTCTTTATAAGATCTAGGAGATTTTTAAAGTATCTTACTACTCAGTACTAGAAGAGACCTTTTTCAGAATTCTTTTTTTACTTTGATTTTCATTTTCAAGAGAATTATCACAATAAAAAGACATAAAACTGGACTTTTTTCTCTGAGACCAGAAGAATGGATATTGCTATTGTCCATTATTGAATTAATCTTCGTTCTTGTAAAATAAAGCTCCTTTACAAGTATTTAATTTCAATAGGCATATGGAATTAAACTAAGTGTTTTTCAGAAAGCTTTGATCATCTGAAGAATGACTGAACATAACTGAGTGTAATTGCAATTTAGAGGTCATGCTTCTGAGTTAGAGTGAAACATTGATAAAAATATTAGAAATCCTCTCCATCCCACATTTCTAAGTGGGTTACTTAGTATTCTGTGAAAGTAGTGGTTGCATCCACCTTCACATCCTTGTCAAGACAAATATCATACAGCACATGAAATGGCAGAGTTTATTAGCTCAGGACAATTCTAGCAGCCTAAAGACAGTAATGTGCTACACCTTCTATAACTCTTTATCAAATGTGTATAATTGAGAGCTTTTGAGAAGACATATTCCATGCAAGGGAAAATCATAATCAATCAATCAATCAATCAATCAATCAATCAATCAGCATTGCAGCCATGTACAATGGAAAAAACTGTGAGTTCCATTTGGACACAAACTGCTAATATGGACATGTGCTGACTGTGTTGGTACTTTACCACCATGAAAACAAAGAACAGCCAAAGACTGTCACTCTACAAGCTGGCTGAGTACCTGTTTCAGTTGTGTCTCAGAGTTTACGTGCACATCACATATTTCACAGTGAAATGTTTTGTTCTGAAGGCCTGTGTTTCCTTTATTCACAGGTCCTTTGCCTTTTACGCCTGCCCGGGGAAAGGCTTTTATGGTTCCGCTTCCATTCCGAGCTTCCAGCATAGTTTTGTGCTTAGTCCCTGGAGACAATAGAAATGGGAAACAGAAACAACTTTGGCAATTGGGTTGCATTCATTGTTTTATTTTATTTTTGAAATAAAATCATATGAGCCTCAGCTTGGTGCCATGTGCTATCCTTGGAATACGACTGTGTTGGTCTGTATCAGAGTCATACTAACGTAACAGGATTTCACACCTGATATTTATTTACTAAATTACATACCTATAGGTAATGCACTAGAACAAAGCAGCCAGACCAGAAAGTAGCAGCACAATCAGGTACCCTGATGTGAAGTTAAATGTGTGTGACTTTTCTCATTAACTCCTGCTGCTAATAAGACCTGAATTGTAGTTACAAAAGAAAAGTAATTTAGCTACTAAAGATGCAGTTGGCTTTGATTTGTATTCCTCCTGAACAGATTGATAAACAGTATGTCTAGGTAACTTATAATTAAATCTGTAATTAACTAATTACTCTCCAAACCAGAAAGGGGCAGAGGTTCCTGGAAGCAACCTATGGATCATTAATGTCCTGGACAGAAACCAAAACATATGAGAAACATATATGAGAGAAAAATTCAATTACCTTTTTTTTTCCTTTGTAAATAAAGGTTGCATAGAGAACACTGGTGTTCTGTTGCTTCACCCTTATTCAGACTGAACAGTTTCTTAAATTGTTGACTCCCACACAGGTAGTCTGTGATGATAATGGACTAACTACTGCATACAGAACCACCACTCCACTGCTAATTGCTGTATGCATCCTCAGGGACTTGTGAAAAAATGCATGTGTGTGAGCACACACACAATTTATCAGCACAGGCAGCAAAAGCTTGGGAGGCTGTGTTTAAATATTCAGAATAGTGTTTTGTCTCTCAGCCTGATCAGAATATTTAGAGTCTAACTCTCATATGAAGTTAATAGTTGAAAAGGGTACAGCTTGAAGTTGAACTTTCACCAGCTGAAGATCTGGAAAATAGTAAACAGCATCCAAAACTGATGGAATTTTGATTCTCATGAATGCCAAGAAGTTATAATTTCCATTCTGAGTTCTATAGATATGTCAAAGTTATTTCTTTTAATTGAATCATAAAACCTCTGATCACTTTGCTCTAGGTATATTATCACTGTCTCAACATTTAAAACCTAACATTCTCTTTCTGTCTATGAACTCTGCTTACCCTTGACAAGACATAGCCCCTGACATCCCAGATCAGGAATTTTCTGTAATGTGGCTATAGGTGGTCACTATCACCATATCAAATCCCTAGAGCTTTTAACCCCACCCACCACAGAGCTAATCAATAACATGCTAAAATTGTGACTGTGAATGGTGGATGTCTATTGTGGAAACCCACTGATGCTACTAGCTCTAATGGCAAGAAAAAGTTTAAAACCTAAAAAAGATGGAGGAAGGCAATTACTCTCATGCAGCAGCTGCTATCAGTTGATGAAAACAAAGGGAAAATATACATAATATTAACAAGCTGTTTATTAACAGACAATATGGAGCTAAGAACTCTAACTCTCATCATTGAACTCTGACTGACTAATGCTCCCTCTTTTAGCCTTAATTTGTTAAGTTTCAAACAAAGCTAATGGCATTCACTCTCATTTTGCTAGTTGGCACAAGCAAAACTATGCAAACTCTGAACACCAAGGATAATGAAGTCGAGCTGTCATTTAGCTCAATAAGATTTTGAAGCTGCAAAGGCTAAAGTGTAAGAAAATCTGCAACTTGCAATAAATTCCTTTCTTTCTCTTTTTTGAAGGCCTCTTTGCCTGTCATTTTTATACTTTAATAGCTAATGAATTCCATGTAATTGCCAGTTTTCTGCCACCTCTTTGTCCCCTGCTGCAAGAGATCTAATCTATTCAGGGGAAGATAATTGCAGCGCTCTTGAGACAGAAGGGGAAGAAAAAAGGACGCAAGCAAGCACTGCTCCATCTCACCACTGTTGTGCGCCTCCAGCTGTGAGGCAGAGTTGACAGCGACTTTGCATAGTGAACAGTACAGCAGCCTTTTTGCTTTTTCTTCCTCAGTCTCAACGGAAGGGCAAGTGCTGCTGCTCGTGGCTGTTGTGGGGATTTTCTCCACTTTAGAGGTGATCTCAGTTGTCATAACACTGCTCTTCCGGATTTCCACGGTTGTCGTCGTTGATATTGCTGGTGTCCCTGTGTTAGTGTCTGTGGGCAAAGGGAAGAGATGGAAAGAAATGAGCACAAACAGAAAAAAATCGTGTGACCTTTGGTGTTTGCTTGTTGACATCCCAATGCTGTGATGACACAGAGAGGCAGATTGTTCTGGTGATGATTTGACTAATGGTAATGAACTAAACCTGACCTTTTTCTTTGTATTTCGTGTGGTTACAAAATACAGTACTCCCATGTATTAGAAAACCATGTGTTGTCTCCTGCAGTCTGCTCACACAGAACTCATAATCTGAGCAAAAAAGTCATTAAGAATGTACTGTAAAACAGAAGAAAAATGTAATAAAAGAGGCCATGTAAATGACCAGGTCAACCAGCAGTTTAAATTTATACACACAAATTGAGATTCATAAACAGCCATAGTAACATGTAATACTTATTCTAATTGGGTAGCCAAGCTAAAGTTTTAACATCTTGTACTAATAAAATGAAAATGAAAAAAAATGGCCTTTATATCTAGTAAAAAGAAAGAAGAAATAGATACTTGACTTGATTTTTTCCCAACACCAATAATAAAAGAATGAAGACAATTATAAATACACAGCACACACTGTTATCCATTATTGCATAATGATACATGTTAATAACAGTAACTAAATACACAACATTCCATATCTGAGACCTAAACAAACACTAATAACATTTTTAGTCTGCCTATCAGTTGGAAAGACTAAAAGCAAGATATATACCTAAATCTGACATCTTATTTATTGCAGCTAAGAACTTGTGCTTTTCCCATAGTTATCAAATGAAAGAGAGAAAAAATACACAATAATATTTTAGTTTGAATCATTGAGACATGTTGCTTGGAAATGGCAGTATCGTGGTTGTTAAGTACTTAGCACGGTGGAGGACAGCAGTGAAGGCAGTGAAGAAGGTGGTGGGTAGGGCACACGAGAAGGAGACAAAGGACAGGAGTTGTTCTGCCTTTGCAGTGCTATATTTTACCATGTTAAGCCTACTGAGTAGATTAAAAAAAAAAATCTTAGTTACTTTACTGAAATATGCTTGGATTTGGGTACTTTCCAGTATAGCTCATTTTGGCTTTATACATCATTTGATGTTAGTGATGCTCTACCTGTACTATGCTTTATTTATTGCCTCCCATCAGAATAGACAAAATAGCAATTCTTTCACTTAGAGAGTTAAATACGTGCTTGGATGCAGAAGAGACACGACTATCTGATACCACAGTGGTGTGTTGCAGACTAATACTGTTCAAAAACTTTGTTAATGGAAAACATTCCTAATAGCTTGGCAGGCATTATCAAATTGGAAGCAAGGCAAACACACTGAGAAACCTGATTCAAAACTATTTTAATGCATTGAAGAAACAGTTTAGAAAATTAGATGCTTTTCAGTAAAGACAATTGCAGGAATCCACACTCAGTAGGTTTAATCTGATCTATTAACATAGAATGATGAACAACAACCCCAGAACTGCATTTGGCAAAGTTTTATTGTTTATTTATTTTTGATTGTTTTCTTTGTTTATTTGCTTGGCTTTCAGAAAAATCTTTCAGTAGCAGACATGATGAACACAGATCTCTTCTATCATTGTGCTAGAAACCAGGTCCCCACCCCATTGAAATTGCAAAGCAAAAGATTTAGGAGGTATTTTTTCCTCCTCTGATCAGCTCTGAAGGCCCTGTGTCCAGCATGGGGACAGCAATGTCAAAAAAAACCCCCAAACAAACCCAAAATTACTTGCTTTGCTGTTAATTAAAAATTAGCAATAATTAAAAAGAAGCAATACAAATGCAAAGCAAAAAGAGAGGGTTTGCAATGGAGGGAGTCAAAATAAATTAGAAGTTTAGAAAACATGAACTGTGAATATGGAAGAAAAAGGGCAAGCACTGACAACATTTTTCATATCTGTAGACGGTAGCTAAAAATAAGAGAATATACTCTTCTCCTTCATCCCTCCTAGTAGAACAAGGAGTATTGGATTACATCAAGAGAGACTTAGATTAGATGTGAAGAAATTGTTTCTAATATTAAAGTTTATGAAGCCTGGGAATAACCTACCTACACAGATCCTGAAATATTTCCTACTGGGGGACTTGAAGCTGGCTGAACAAATATCTACACAAATATGATTCCCTTTCAGTCAGTGAGAATATGACCCTTTAAGCTCTATTAAGTTCGATTCATTGTATATTTTGTCATGTTTGTACATACTCTCCCAGAGAGTTTTTAAAAATTATCATTCATAAATCCAAGAAAGAAGCTTCTTTCATGTGAATATTCTATGTATTGACAGGCATTAAAACATGTAGCAAAAAATAAAGTCTTACTCAAGGTCAAATCACAGTTTGGTTTTGTTTTTCCTGAAAGAGTGCCTGAAGGTTGTCAGATCTTGAAGGTACTGGGGATGTCAAATACCAGTGCAGAAGAAAGGAGTTTATCTTGCTGAATAGTCTCTTATTTATAATTTTTTTAAAAAATAAGGTTTCAAAAGGAAAAAAAAAATTGAAATACTAAGCAATTTGTTGAGAAACTGATGAAAAAATAAAGTCCTTGAAGATCTGTCCATAAAATTGTAGAGCTAACTAGTCACTCCTTTCCCATTCCAGAGAATCCATTGAATATTTGCTTTCCTTCAGTCAAAAATTACTGCAATGAAATAATTTTCCTCAAAATCTCAATCTCAATCCAAACCCTATTGCTTTATAAGCATTAACACTGCTTTTAAAACATCATATTCTGTGTCCTGGTACTACTGTCAGCTTCGCCAATGCGCTCTCTTGGTGACATGGAGGGCAAGGGGCAGACGGCCCAGGTAGGGGAAAGGGACATGAACATCCTCTCAGGATTGATGGCAAAGTTGGTGCCCATTCTAATCTCGCAGGAAATTAGAAATGTACAGCAATCACCATTGCCAGCTTTGCAGTGTAAGGGTCAGGATTTAACCCTAAGCAAAATATAGATGATAATTTCTTTACTTTCCTTAGGAAAACCTGAGGCAATGCATGAATTAAAACAATAAAAGCTAAAATAACAGCAGACTTTATTCTGCTTCAAGTATCTGACTTTCTCTATCTATGCTGATCGACTATTTCACTATGCAATTATATACAAGCAAAAAGAAAATACAATCATGCTAGCTGTTTTGAATATTTTGAGGGTATTTTGAGATGCATGAATGAAAGCAGCATAGTATATAAAAGTTAAAAATGGTAAAGGTCATCAGCATATTCCTCATCTCAAAAAAAAAATCAAAGTTCAGTGCATATATTCTGCATTTTTAAAAGTTGCCCTATATGATTACATTTAATATTCTACTAATGCAAATACATTAATAACATTAAAACATAAATAGAAAGCCATTGAAGTTCACCATGTAAAAGCCATGACACATCTAAAGATGCAAAGCTGCTCATGCTCATATAAACTAAAATTTTCAGCAGAGATTAAGGATAAAACATTCTAAAAGCTGTCAAGTAAGCTTACAAAGAGGCAATTCAATTCCTTTTCTCACAAGAACTTCTAACCTAACCAGCATGGGTCCCTTTGAATATTTTACAGTGTTGCTGCCTCTCCGGAGTTCAGTGCCATAAATACAGGGTGCAGCATTAAAGTTATAAGGGATTAACAAACAAACAAGGAAAAACAACACCAAAAAGAAGTAGGAAGGCATTTGATTTTGTGCTTTGTAGACTGAATCAGCATTTCTTAACACTATATTTTGACAGCGCTTTAAGAGCTATTTCAATTATAAATGTTCTAAAATTGAGCTGGAAATTCAGCCACAGTCAAATGGAAGATTTGCTTCTGGTGACGCAGGCTTGCAGCACTGTGCTATTTTCATACCAGTGGCCTACAGCAAATATTCATTATTGCAACTGTCACTGCTTGGCTTTGGTATAGAAGTTGATTGCTGATATTGTATAGAACTGGACTCCAGCAGTAAAAAAAATAATAAAGGGAACACTTCAGGATTCACAAAAATCCATTTGTGATTCTGGTCTTAATATAGCAACAGAATAAAAACTAAAAATATTAAAATATTACATTGCAATCTAATCTTAGTCACTGGCAAAATCAAAGGTCTGTTTTAACAAGAGACAAAAGATGAAAAAATATTCTCCAAGAATTGACTTCTTTGAGTACTACAGATACTGTGGTTCAAGTGGAAAACTGCATTGTGATTAAGGTTCTCCTAAGTAAGCAGGATTAATTTTATATCCCAGCTACAAGACTCATGAATTTTCTTTAGTCTGAAGAAACAGAAAATTACAACTCATATTTTTCTTCTGAGTATGTGAAAGTCTCACTCATCAGTTCCTGCTACTAAGCCTAAGACTTTCTTATCCTGAAGCTATAAATAGGCCCACAGAGAGAAACATACTCTGACTTCAAACAAATCACAAATATTTATGAGCATGTTTTTTCTTCTGCAATCTCAAGTGGCACACATTTAAAAATATCTGATTTAGCACATACCCATGCATTCTGGTCTCATTTAAATCAAACTTTGCCTTTGACATAAAAGGATTGAGCATTTGGCCCATAACACTGTTCAGAGAAAAAATAAACAACAAAACAACCCAAAAAACCCCAACAAATGCAATTTTGCAGAAGGTAGAAAACATGTTATTTCTTATAACAAATAGAAGTTGATATGAAATATTTCACTATATGAGACCACTTAGTATTGCAGAAACTTCAGCTGGCTGTATAGCTTGTAACAAACCTGTGTCAATGCTCCCATACAGACCCTTGATACTGGCACGTTCAAGGCTGGGACTGGGACTTAGTATATTATTTTCCTGACTACTAAGAACTGTGTCCCCAGTTTCCGTGGGCTGCTTTGAAAATTCCATTTTCCACTACTTCTGTGGTAATTACATTTGAAGACAAGACAATTTATTTAGAATCTATAAACATAATACTGCAGTACACCAAAACAAAAGTACCACCTCCCAAAAAAATGATGGCTGACACATATTTTTGTGCTTAGCTGATTTTCTGTT